AGGGAAAGAAGAGCTCAAAACAATCACCAAAAGTAGAAGAGCTGGCCAAAACCATCCACAGGCTCCATAGACGGCAAAAAACATCATGACTAAGGACATGAATAGGAGAAGAAATAGGCAGAAGGGAACCAACCACCTGATGCATACAAGCATGAATATCATCAGTTAACTTGGTACAACATGGTTAATCACAACTCAATAAGAATGTGGAAGCTAAATTATCCAAGACATCGAAAGTACCTCCAACAGATTGAAATCCAAGATCTGACACATGCAGGTGTGTGCTGTACTAAATGGGCAAAAGGTATAACAACTGAATGTCAGGTCCATGAACACATACGAACACAAAATATGCCAAGGAAAGAATAGCCTATGATCATGTGCTAGTGCTCACAGATATTATATACAAAGGTCATGTCACCATTCTGTTGGTGGAAGGCTAAAGCATAATGACCATTACATCATAAGCTGGCACAATACATGTAAGTACTTGTAGTGGTAGGAGTTAGTTCAATACTTGTGGCATGCAAGTAAAATTTCATGGCTGTTGAATGTGAGGTAATAACTCATAGCAGCGCAGAAAGGCAGGTAGTGTTTCTGAATAAATAAAGTCACTCTTAGATACCTATTTAATATCTACAAGTTTTTTTATTCAAGAACTCTGTTTCTGATAAAACTAGATATTTGTGAAAAACAGTAACAGAAATTAAATCATTAATAACAGTCTTTATCTATCTGATTACAAGTTACAGCTTTTACAATAAGTAGGACATTTCAATCACTGTGCAACCATTTTTCAAGTACACAAGTTTTAATGGTAAAGAATATATTTTAACTTGGGGAGTGCAGAAACAGTATAGCACTTCACTAATATCAACACATGATGTCCATGCCAGGCTAAAACTCCCACCTTCCTAAAGAGGGGGGAATAAGTAATAAACAATTAAAAAAAAAAAATAAGGATGATGTAGAGATTGCAATGCCAAAAAGTACAGAAACAAGGTAGGGATGAATATACAAAACCATACAAAAATCCCTATGTAAGTAGCTTATGGAAATTAGCCATTGTAAAACTTTATAGCATTATTCAATTTAAATGCTTTTATTCAAACCTGAATTCATGTAAATGAAAGGAATTTAACATTTAGTTGTAGATAAAAGTTTTTCTTGGAAAAGTTTGGCTATTTACGTAGGGATTTTTGTATTCATTCCTACCTTGTTTCTGTACTTTTGGCATTGCCATCCCTACATCATCCTTATTTTTTTCAAAATCTTTTTATTACTTGTCTCTATCTCCAAACCAATACTCTATCTGTAGTGACACTTTGAGTCACTGATTTCATCAAGTTTATCTCCACTTGCTCCTTTATCCTAATTTCTTTGTCCTGGTTTTTAGCAGTGCCAGTCCCACTAGTATTCACTAATGCAGCGGCCAGAGCTTGTTCATTTTAAATTAAAGTTAGTACATTTTCTCTATTGTCATTGTTAATGTCTTATCTGGGATGAGATAGAGATTAAATTGCACAATATTAAGTTATTTGACCCATTTTAGTTTCACTTTTTTTTGCATTTATAAGTAATTCAGTTGGGTAGAAAGCTTATCATATAGAAACTAACCCTCACTAAGTCTTCAACCATGTTAGGTAGAGTGATCCTAATTGACTTTCATAAAACTTCCCTGCCAATACTTTTTAATCCCCTCTGTAGGCATCAGCATAGAAGGCCAAAATATTGTTTCATTGAAGAAAGAAGACAGATATGGACCATAAATTTCAACCTCACAATGTAGGATGTTAGTCAGACAGGATGAAAAAGAAATCTTCAGTATATGGAAAATGACATCATCAAGAGCTGTTCATTAACTTCTAACAAGAATGACTGCTACAAAATGTGCACTTCCTCATCTTCTTGATCAACAGGATAAAGGTTTCTCATTTCTTTACGCTGTATTCTGAATACAAAGTATGAATGAACACAAGTTCACGATTTAGAAAAAAACAAAAACACTAAACTCCAATGAATCATAGTTATATTTTTCTAACAAGGTTATTAGCTCATGGACTGAATTGCTACTAGCAGTAGTGGTGAGTTTAAGAGAAGAATCAATGATTTCCTGAAAAACAATGAATGATTTGAAATTTTTACTTTTATCAGGGATGATTTGAAAAACTTTGTTGTCCACATATTATGTTAAGATAAGGGCTATATCAGACAACATTAGTTTGTCACCTTCCAGCTTTGTAAATGATGCAAGATTAGTTGCAACATGCCTAATACATCACTCACTTGCATACAAAAAATGTTATTATTAAGCAGACCTTTGTGGTTGTGGGCACAGATGTGGATGTCAACCTGCAGACCTATTGTGGCTTGATATTTTCAGGAACTTGACAAAAAATCCTTTTCTACCTTTCTCAACTTGAATATGTTTGAGTACTTGTTTTGAGACATTTCTCTCTCCAAAGAACTTTATAATCTGCTCCATTGCTTCTTTACATTTACTCACAGTTCTTTGCCTGCAAATGGCCTTACAAAGCAGGTTCATAGTATGAGCTACAAATCAAAGATGATGAGTTGGGGATATTTCTCTAAGTAGTACCCATGCAGCTCTCACGTAACTTGTATGACCTGAGGCCAAGATTAGTATTATACTGTCCAAATTTCAAAGATAAAACTTCACAGTCTAACAGACTAATTTCTGAATGCATAATCAGTCACTCAAGATCAATATGGGCATTAAATGTCTCCTGTAATTTTGCCATTACCTGCAGTTCTCAGCCCAAAGAACTGGCATTAATGTTAGTCATTTTTATGCATCATAAAATTTCCCACTTCTAAACTCAGTATTTTATTTTTTAATATCTTAAGAACCCTAGAAAAAATAAGTTAATAAGTAATAATGAACCAACCTTTTTAATTTTAAGCCTATTTATAGTAATAGCATTAGCAAACAATTTAGACTAGTACCAGTATCAATAATAATAATAATACATACATGTTCTCTCAAAAGTATAAAATTATCAGTTACTGCAATTTACATAACTACCTACATTAGTAATTGTTATTATTTATGTTCATAGTATTACTAAGATTATGACATGTACATTTTGCATAAATTTCGTAAAGTAGTCATACCATCTATTTCACATAAACTACTCCAACAATTATAAAATCCTTAGTGTAACACTTGAAACTTTAACTTTTAAGTTACACAGTTCAGGTAAGTAAACTTGTATAACTTCTTAGTCCTACTCATTAACTAATATATAATTATGAGATTTTTCTACGTATATACCAAGTTATTTTTCAGGTTTCACTTTCAACTTTATCTTTTAACATCTAAATGGCTAATTCTGGCACTTAGATAACATTTCCCAATGTAATTGAATACACTCAAAAAATATGTTGTTTTTGAATGCATCAATACTTCAGGAAACCTGACACTTCACAAGTGGAATCTCCTAGAAAATGAACATGCCATTTTATACTATAGTCATAATAATGATATTCAACAAGTAAAACAGTAGTTATGCATTATTAAGCACTAATATCACCTAATTCTATAAAGCTGGCATATTGGAAGTTTTTTCTTATATTGTGACTTCTTTAGAAATATTTTAGATTCTATTTACTGATCAGTAGGAATGCTCTGTACTACTGTCATACAGTTGCTTCAGTAAATCAACAACTATTTGAGGCATAATATTTGAATTATTTTGAATATACTGAAAAAAATGGTATATACCTCCACCGTATTCTTAATTAAGTAGATTAAAACAACTGTTCCTGCTGGTGTTGCCATAATCTCATTTATGAGTTGTTCAAGATCAACAGAATACATGATTTCAAAAGCTTTCCTTCTATATCTTCCAAATTCATTGTCATATTCCTTCTTGCTTACAAGTTACAATCCTGGGACAGTAATTACAAAAATCATCCAAACTTTTGACATTTGTTAGCAATTAGTTCTCAACAGTTATAACATTAACATTCATATCATCATTTTCAATGACAAGGAACCCACTTTGAGATTAATAATGCTTGAAGACAGCTTGAATGGGTAATGAAGAAGAAATTTAATATAAGTTTAACGTAACAGCAAATGTACAACATTTCAACAAGGTTTTGATGATGACAAAACCTTGTCAAAACATTGTACATTTGCTGCTATGTTAAACTTGTATTAAAGTTCTTCATCATTACCCATTCAAGTCATCTCCAAGCATTATTATTCATGTCATCATCTTTTTTTTAACATAATTTACTTTTCTTTTTGACTGTTTTTCTCCCACTATAAATGAGTGTTCCACATATCTTTGTATCCCAAATTTCCTGGACAACTTAATTGGTAATGGTATAGCAATTCCATTGTAATCATACCCACAAGCAGAACACTCCAATTTCCAAACACGTAAAACAACTATTTTAAAATTCCACCTTTACAACGCCATTTATCATGTATGATACCTTACACAAGTCCAATTTATAATCAAAAAACACATAGAATAAAATAAGGCATGCGATTTTTGCATAATTTGCCAAAATTTGGCAGAAACTAGAAAGTCGCGTGATACTAATATTTTCTTTCATGGATCTTGTTCTAATTTCTAGAGACTAACTTTTAAAATCTAAGTTAATTGTCTGTATGATGTATCACTATCAGTATCACTTTAAAAGTTTAAAAACAAAAAAGTAGTTCGCCTTATTACTCACAAAGTCAAATGATGCTATTTATTGGTTAAAATAAATTCCAGATCAGACTTTTTGAAACGACAGCATCTTCAGTCACCTTTACTTAGCATTACTCGCGAATCGGGTTTAACTTTAATTAATTTAAAGTTTACCGTACGTTTAACTACGATTGAACAAACCGTGCTACGACTACGATATATATTTATTTATTAAATTTATTTACTTAACTAATCAGCTGCTTAAAGTTATATTACAACTATCAACTTAATAAATGATACGTTGGTATTTTTTAATGCTTCAAAACATACCTAGTAATTAGAGAATAAAAGCCAGGAATATCCCGATAAAACTTAACACTTTTCATAACAATAGATGCCATTATTAATAATTCGTCTCCTTTAACCTATTCGTACGATACTAGCGTCCTCTCATTTGCCTTTTCTAAGATGTTAAAATGATTATTGTTGTAAATCAAAGTGTCCATCAACAAGATTATAAACATCCCTTTCTGGACAGTTTGCTTTACAACAAGAACGGTAAAAAGAATTAAATAAGAAAATGAAAAAAACGCAAAACTTCATTGTCTAATTAAGAATGGACAAACTAATACAAAAAACCTGTTCACTATATTGAGATGAAAGGAAAGAAGAACAGCCCTTTAACAAAGAAATTTTTTATAATTTTAACAATATTTTAGAACTACTCTCTAGCGAATGAGGCAGACTCACACGAAATAAATTAAAAATAACTAAGGCTCTCAAATTTCGGATATAAAAATCAAATCTACCACATAAAAGAAAAACATTTACTCAATGAAAATTGGACAAAAGTAACTAGTAATCAGAAAATTAAACTATTTAATATTAACTTTATCATTTCACGGGAAAATACTAAGAAAATAACAAAGTAGTAAATGGAAAGCCAACATCGCTTTTCACATGTGCGCAACATTTATGTGCATAAGCATTAAAATTTACAAAGTATACACTCACATAACAAAACGAAAGCAATACCTCCAAAAATTGAACTCCGTGCTCTTTTTCACACACTCACGTGTGTGAAAGAGCGATGGCATCGTCATTATATACAAAAAATACATTTATGAAATCTTCCCGGAAAAAAGATACAAAGCCATTGGGCTTAAGTTTTCCATAAGTAATCATCAGTGTGAAAGGCAGAGAGCTCTCCAAATTAAACACAGAATAAAGTATACAATATAAGTTATAACAATTTAAATATATACGAAATACACACTCACCCCAGAGAGTGGTTGATGCTCCACTCCCACATTTGCAATACCAAATCAGGAAGCTACAACTGTAGCTTCGGCTATTAGTGATTTCTTC